CGTCTTTCACCACTTTCTTTTTGGTGGCCTCGACGTTGTGATAGCCCGGGTAGGCTCGGGCCGGATCTGACTCTTGAATTTTGCCCACAATTTCGCCAATTTCTCCCGCCTTTACGGGAATGCAGAGACCGTCGGCGTCGCGGATCGGTTCGCCGGTCATTTCGTCCACTTTCATGACGACCACTGGATATACGAGACGACAAAACCACGGTATACAACACGGCACGAAACCACAGGCACCCTCTTTGTTGGATATGTTGGCTGTAATACACATATTTTTAATTTACATTTGGTTTATTAAATTAATTGTTAGCTTATATGCCGACGACTACTGACCGACATTAGCGTTGCCTTCAGTGGAGCCGTAAAACTCGCCGATTTGTGGGATATTGAATCGGGTCTTAAAGTCGGTCCATATCTTCTTGCGGAGCCCATTGCCGATCATAATCCTCAGGTTGTGTTGTTTGTCGACTGGCTTTTCCGGTTGAGCCAATAAATATCGACAAATCTCACCAATGTACATCGCAGCCTAGTTTGCAATAATTAAATGGTAATTTATTGGTTAATAAATCATTACAAAAAATGGTTAATTAAAATTTATAAATAAGAAATGCAAAATTTAATATTCACATGAAATATTAATTTTCACGTATTTTCCATTAATGGTATAAAATAAATAAATTTATAAACAAAATATAAAATTATCGTGAATATTAAAAATTATTTTTTACATAAATACAAACTTATTAATTTATCATAAATATTTGCTATAAATTTCTAGCAAGTGTCAAAACAAACAAAACTGCATTAATTGTATAGAATTTATAATATTTATTATGTACTTAATAAAAAGCATCGAGAATTATATGAAGACAATTACTATATGTATTAAAACAAAACCTGATTTAATCAGTTAAACGAGTGTTTGCCGTAAATAATCAAATTTTGTAATTATTATAATCAGATCTCAAATCTTAAAGTAAAGTACTTTTTCTTGAAAACACTTTCGTTTATAATTTTTGGTCACTTTTAAGGTCAACAAAAAATTGTCACTTTGTTTATATATATTTTTAAACTCTGAAGGTAAGATTATTAAAGACTTAGATAAAACATTTATGTGTTATTCAATGGAAGTAATGCATCGTAAATATTTTAATAGCATTATTGTTGTAACTTTAATTTTGTTAACTATAATGAGTTGTTAATTAACGTTGAAGGATTCATCTAATTAAGCTAAGTCTAATTAAACTAAGTATTAGTTACATTATGTACATCTTAAACCCCTATAAATCCATCGCTATTTATAGAATCTATTTAGTGTTTTTTAAAAGTTTCTAGTTAAATATGGCTAATCAATTTATTAAATAAAAAATACTTTTGTACTAAAATGCAAAACACCTCCAGTATATTTTAATTAGAAAATAAGATATGTAAGTAAATTTGTAAAATTTTTAAATCTATAAATAAACTACAATCTTACGGTGCAATTGTATTTAATACAGTCGTCCCAGAAATTAGAGGCCGAAAACTTATCCCTTAGTGTTAGGGTTATGCCAAAGAGGACGGCCTGAGCGCAGCCCATAGTACCGGCGTTATTGTGATACAGGGGTAGCGTTAAGTACATGTTGTCTTTGTGGGTGAAATTGAAGAGCGATCTAATGATGACACCCATGTACTGGAACCGATGGTTGCGGATGACGGCCGCCTTCGGCAGACCGGTGGTGCCCGACGTGAATATGTAGTACAGTTTGTCCGAGAAGTTGCCCTTCGCTAGAGTGATGGGATCGGTTGCGGACGACTGGTCCAACAGCTCGTGCAACGGCTGCGACGGTATGTCCCGACCCTCGGGCACCACATGAGCGCCGAAACTGAAGTATCGCATCGATTGGTTCTTCTCTTTCACCGCAGGAAGTATTTCGTGAATCGCTGTCCGAAAAGAAATAGCATTTTTTGTTGCAATTATTCAATGAATTATTTCATATGATTTTTGATTTTACAGATATTTGTTATATTATATAATTTTAATAAGAAATTGTGTGCAAACAATGTTTGACATAAATATTTTTGTTTTTTATATAACATGTTATCTATGATTATAATTTATAAATGTTTAGCGAGAAATCTATATAAAAGTAAATGTTTTTGTTGGGGTATTAACTAAACAAATGCATCGCTTTTATTATCAAAGTGTTTTATCAAAATTGCGATTCATTAAGTTTTGGCTCAGAAAATAAGGTTAATTTAATTCAAACCATAATTAATTGAATGCATAACAGATACACTGCAACTAAAATTTGGCCATAAAATCACTACACATTGCAATCCTGTATTACTAAACTCAATGAAACCAATTATCTTAAACAAGATGGTAAACACAAAAAAGTCTTACATTTGGCCAATTGTGGCTCATATATCACAGCCTTGCAGTTGACAACAGTGATTGAATGGGTGAGCGCTTCCAAGCGTTGATTAGTGTTGATGAATGCGGTGATGAGCCCGGCTTTGGCCAA